CGGAGACCCGAGGTAGACCTGCATACGTCCGCATGCCTTGGCATTCCCTTCTATTTTTTATATTCTGTTTTCATTTACTTCAGAGACAGACTTGTATCTTACTTTTCAGACCAATATTTGTAGTATTCGTAGATGATCCGTGATATTGTGATACCAGTTCTGAATAGAGTTGTATTTTGGATTTTCGCACTAGCCTTTGGTTAAATTATCAGACTTCGTCTTCTGCATTTCCTTTATTATTATTCCGCTGTTGATCGCATGTTGATTTAAAATTGTTAAAAGGTTAAGAAAAAGGATAATAAAATCTATAACGCTCGGCTTGCCTAGCTTTTCGAGTAGGCGCCATCACGACTCCCGAGGATGGGAAGTCCGGGTCGTGACAAACACCATTAGGCGTTTGGACTACATGCCCAAAAACTTCACGTTTCGCAAGTGAATCCAACTCAGATTGGATTGCTTCTTGCCATTTTGGCCAATCACGTATTTGTCGACATTCTCCAACAGATTGAGGTTCAAGATCCTCACTATCTTGCATAATGCTAGATGCAACATTATATGCAAAGACATAATCCAACACTATATTCAATTGATTCAAATCTGGCTCAATATCGATTGGATTTATTGATAGTTCCTTATTTTCTTGAGTCTCAGGCTCAGTGATTTTCTCATGAATCTCAGGATTGGTTAAATCGTGGATTTCTTCATGAGATTCTTTCGTAGTGTCATCTTGATCATTTATTTTTTTCTAGGATTTCGATCCTTAGAATCCAATAGTCTGCCATATTTTAGGCGTGCTTTTGACTCACTAGTTATGACACTAGAAGATTGTCCAATAAGGACATCAATACGAATTGGAATACTCTCGAGGAATATGTGATTTTGTTATCCTTTTCAGATCCAAATGCATCTGACATTTGATTTGCTATTTTTAGTAAATGGATATTCTTTTGCACATTTTTTTTCACAAATAGAGGCACATGGATGAAGCTGAGACAATGATGGATTTTTTCACAAAACTTCCCATTTGCTTTCACCAATTTCTCCCCCTAATTTTGGGAAAATCGCATCATTAAATCGACAATCTGCAAATCGAGCAGTGAACAAATCTCCCGTTAATGTTTCAAGGTAGCAAGCGAATAATGGAGGTCGATTCAAACACAACATATATTCCTAACCTTCTTTTGAGACCCATCTTGGTGCGATATGGTTGTGCTACAGACATATATACTACGCACCCAAAAATTCTTAAATGAGATATTTTAGATTCATGACCTAAAACTAATTGCAACAGGAAATATTTATGATAACTTATCGGTCTAAGACGAACTAGCATTGCTGCATGCAAAATGGAATGACCCCAAACAAAAGTAGGTAATCTCGTTTTCATGAGTAATTGCATTGCTATCAATTGTAGACTTTTAATCAAAGACTCTGCAACGCCATTTTGAGTGTGAACATAAGCTAAAGATGTTTCACTTTTATCCCAATTGATAAGCAATAATCATTAAATACTTGGGATGAAAACTCAGCAGCATTATCAAGTCGAATAGACTTAATTGGATTATGGGGTAGTTATGCATCTATTAAACCACTCACTAGATGGGTGAATAGTTTCACAAATATCCCCTTGTATACGTTCTAAAAACGCAGGGGACTCAATCCCAACCTTTGTTGGTAATGATCTAATAATTAACTTGCCTTGATAATAAGAAGTGAAAGAAAATTCATTATTTAAAAGAATCTTTAAATTCTTTAATGGATGCCTATATTGATCCAGGATGTTCCAATCGATCATGCCAAACTATAAAAGTATTGGAATCAATAACCTTTTGGTTTACGGCAGAATGTGCCTCAATTGCACTAATTCTTGTCCAATACATGCTACAAGATAAAGATGGGAACTTCTCAATAACCCTTTTCTGGCCAGAGACATTCTTAGTAACGATGAGATATTCAAGATTATTCTCATATATTATGTCAATATGATATCCATTTCAGCAGATATCTTTAAAACTCAACAAGTTCCTCTTGGACTTGGAGGAGAACATTACATTATCTATGATAAATAGTATTCCCCTAGGCAAAGTTATAGTAGTTGTTCCAAAGCCTTCAATTAGATTACTACTACCAGAAATTGTAGTAACATCTACCTTACACATACTTAAATGAGAGAAATATTTCTTCTCTTTGAATATTGTATGTGTCGTACATGAATCAATCAAACAAATATTTTTACAATTAAACTTTGATCCAAGTTTGCTTTGTGAGATATCCATATTTGCTTAGTCTTCTTAAAGAGCTTCTTGAGAAGTTAGAGTCTCGTGCTGATAACGTGTAATGAAAAAATAAAGAAGAATATTGCAAAGAAAGAGAGAGAGAGAATTCTTATTGATTTGGGATGAATTACAATGGAATAGAATTCTCTGTTTATAAGAAAAAAATGACTTAGCCACAAAGTAACAAACCCTAGAATCTCTCTAAAATATAGACATTCACCTTAAATAAAACTCTATTTATAACACAAACCAAATTAATGAATGCAAATATGTCCATTTATTCACTTAATTATAATTAAGTGATACATATTCTCACCTTAATTTGTATTTAATTGAGTTAAATTGTTTAATTTTGTATCATATTCGGGTGAGCAAAATATTTACTAGTGGTTAGTTACTCCACCTAGTGTTTATTTCAAATCATATCAATTTATTATTGTTAAGTAATTTAATTAACAAGGTGAGAATATATATTATTTTTTCATGATTAAGCCATAATAATCTATTGGTGAAACAAATGTCATGCATCTATTAATGTGACTTAAACACTGAACCAATACAACTACTTACCCTCTTTTCTCCCTTGCCCCTCACCCTCCCTCACCAAAAAGAAAAAGAAACAGAGGGAGGAGAGGTTGATCGACTACTTCTAAGACCCCCCCCC